AGTAGCTCTCTCTCGGGGAAGCTAGGAGCACTGCAGGAGGTAAGATTTTATCTCTGAGCTCTGACCTCTCGGCTTTCTCTTTTACATTGGCTCTGTGTTTCTTATTTTAAAAAGACGATTGGTTACATCTACACATACCTAACCTGACAAGTTCCATTGTAATAGGTGACTAATTACTAACCTGCATTTCTTTATTATCCTAAATAGTTTGTAGTAATAACTTTCAAGAACTAGAAAATTCAATTATATTGTTAAGTGAGTTGTATAGGTATTATAGCTTGAACAAGATTAAAAATGTATTTTCAGTGTGTTCTAACAAAAATAATCTCAAATTTGTATCAATATCCAAAATTTGTATATAATATACAAAAACCCAATCCAATGTAATGTATTTGAAACTAGTAGTTGATTTTTAAAAGCAGACTCAGTAATCTACCTTTTTATCTTATCATATCCATATCCTCCCTTTTTTGTTTTTGGGGTAGATTCAATAATCTATTCTTTTGTCTTATCATTTCTATATAATACATTTCTATATCATACCCCCTTTCTTCTTTTAGAAAGAGATTGACTATGACCAACAACAATTTTTAATCAACCCCTAAACAAAAACAAACATTCAGAATCCATTATTTGGGAACATGAGTGTAGTTTTCTAGGCTACTTCCCACTGATTGAGGGTGCTGATAGTCTTATGGGGACACAAAATTTAGGATTATGGTCAAGTCCTGATTGGAGTAGTCTCTGATGCTGTATCATCTCAGCTAGCCATTTCAATATTGTTCTGAGCAGTTTATAGTCCAAAGCCAACTTTGGGTGATCTTTTTGAGCTTGGTGGTATTATCATCATCCTGATGGAATCGCCATTGTGGGGTCCCATCATCTTTTTGGAGACTGCAGAGATTTCATTGGGTCAGATTATTCCTTTTTTTGGTAATTTTTTTTCCAGGTAGTTCTCTCTTCTTCTTTGGATGTTTATTTTTCTAAAGGTCTTTAAATTCCTCAAGATGGTTGTTTTTATTTTCCTAAGAAAACAAAAACAAAACTCTTTCCCAACCCTAACTTTGGGGAGTTTCCAAATCTAATCTCTATTGATTTTGTTTTATGGTTTCTCCTCATTTTTTGTTCTCTCTTCTGTAGCTGTTCTATCATCCAGCGCAGTATGGGTTTTTTTTATAATAGGTATTAGGTTCTTTAATTGCTCTGGAAAGGAGTTTCTTCCATGATAATAGGAAAGGACTGAATGGAATTTGACATGGGGGCCTGTGAGGGGCCCCTCAGGGAGTTTACTGATGGTGAAAGATTATCTTGACTGTCCCTTGTTGATCTACATTTATTAGTCCAGTGTCGGCCTTTCCTACACTTTCTGCATAATCCAGAAGGGAGTGGTATTCTATTGGGATTATTCCTGGCAAGAACATTGTTTCTAGAAGTGTCCTATTTATAGTCCTTTTTTAGGTGACCTTGTTTATCACAATTGAAACATTTGACATTATTGTTTTTCTTCAAACCTCTGGAAATCACCTCTCCTATCCAAGCATCATCATGATCATGAGATTCAAAATTTATTATATCTCAGATCCATTCCTTCAAGGGTTCTGATCTTACCTTTAATGGCCTTATTACCCTTTTGCATTGTGCATTAACATTTTCAAAAGCCAGAGATTCAATTATCTGTCTAGCTTCTGAATTTGGTATCATTCTGTTCATTGCTGAAGTCAACCTTTGTAAGAAAGAAGTGAAGGTTTCTTTGGGGCCATGTATAACTTTAGTAAATGACTCAATTTTATTTCCTACTTCTTCAATTCTGTCCCAAGCATTCAAGGCTGCCATGTGGCATAAAGTTAGGGTGCTGTCATCATATAAAGATTGTCTTTGTGTGTCAGCATGATCACCTTCTCCAAGAAGTTGATCTTGGAACATTTCTATACCTCTAGCTCTACTTTGTTGTTCAATGGTCTTAGCCTCATCCTTCCACCAGGTCCTCCATTGTAATTGGGGACCAGCCTCTAAGACTGCTGAAACCAAATCTCTCCAGTCTTGAGGGATAATTCTATTACAAGTTGACCATGAGTTTAACATGGGTTTCACGAAAGACCAGTGGATACCATATGGGACTAATGCTTCTTTGAATCTCCTCAAATTTAACATTTGCACAGGAGTCCAGTCAGCTCTTATACAGCTTTGAGGATATTTATCATCTGTAAGTTCCTGTAAGGTTGCTGGATTGAGTAAGGTTGACTGTTTGAAAGTCTTAGCATATTTCTCTCTAACTTTATAAGGCAATGTTGAGATTGGTTCTCCTTTAAATTCTTCTGTCTGGGTCTGAATATCTTTATGATCTGTTTTAACAGGTTTTTCTAAAACTTTTATATTGGCAGTCATATTAACCAACTTTTTAATGATAAAACAAATGATCAAACAAGTATTATTTATAATTGACATTACATAAATTCCCATCAACATTATACTCTCATTTAATTGTTGCAGTTTCAGACCACCTAATGTGTTATCAAACAGAGACCAAACACCTTCCATTATATTAATGTTTCCCATCTTTGAATGTGGGGGGAGAAAACCTCTCTTTTAATTGATTCCTCCCTTTAAGAAATCCCAATTGACTCACCAAATCTGCTGACAATGACAATTCAGATGACAGTGTGACAGTGTGGGTGGGCCCAGAGAAAGCCAAAAGGAAGAAACTAGAGAGCCAGCTGTCTTCATAGGGGAATGTGCAAAAGGCAGCTAATTCTGGCATGTTTAGAGCCTGAGCCACCCATGTCACTGGAAGACGAGGTCTCCCATAGTACAAAGGAAATGATTGGAGGCTGTTGTGTTTACTCAGACGAGAGAAAGCCAAAACCCACCTGGAGAGGAAAGAAGCAAAAGATCCAGTGTCTACACGGGGCAAGTGTGCAAAAGTGGCCAACTCCCGTGGTTTTTGGAGCCCAAAAATCTATGGAGTTTGCTGTAAAGAGGCTACAACAAAAACTTAGCCAGCAGGTTAGGGACTCTGGCCCAGGCAGGGTGGAGATTCCAGCCACATGTAGCTGTGGCCTGAACCTGTGTTTTTTTTTTTTTTGTTGTTGTTGTTTTGTTTTGTTGGATGCCAAATGTTGCTCAAATTTCTAAAGGACATTTAATAAAAACCTGGTGCCCAATATTGGGGTAAATGCTGAAAGATCAGAGAGACAAAGGAACAAGCCACTGCCACGTTTCAGTTCCAGGATTGGTAGGGAAGGGAATTATGTTCACAGTTGAAGGTACATGAGTTCTATGAGGAGCAAAGAATGATCATAATATACTTAATTTAAAAGATTTATAAGGCCCCTCCTCAAGGTCATATAATGAGTAATAACTGCTGTGAAGAAGAATTTCTTCAACTTGTTGAGCTGCCTGCAATCATGCAGAGAGTCTAAGCATAGAGATTTCTTGAGCTGTAACCAGGGGAACGGGGGCGGGGTATAATGAGTGAGCATTTTGACGAGGTAGCTGCCTTTGAGTCATCTATGCTATCCCTCATCTATACTCCTGTGAGTAGCCATCTCCATCTTCATTCCTGTATCTAACACCGGTTAACGTACTGTTTCGCCAAGTTGGACTTCCATGGAATCATTTCTTTGGTTTGTGGTCAGTGCCCTATCTGGGGTGAGTAGACATTTGTTTGTGTCTTCCCAGAAAAAGTTATGCAATGCTGACTTTGTCCTGGAAGTCAGAGGAAGGGTGAACAATGGGAGTTGCTGAAGCTGGTTTCCAGAACAAAGTCAGCATTATATGACTTAAGTTTCAGGAACTTCCTCAGACTTAGGAGTTGTTGATTTCCTGAGTCATGAGGACCCTCTATCCTAAATGAAATATTTCAATTTAGAGGAAATTGCTGAACAACAGTCAGTCAGGGTGTTAGTCCATATTCATATCTATAATGAAATACCTGAAACAATGAATGTATTCAGAGAAAAAAGATTATTCTCTTTTATAGTTTCAGAGGTTCCAATTCATGATCAGTTGGCTCTGTGTCTTTGCACTTGTGGCTAGGTAACACATGGAGGGGACTATGTGGCAGAGCAGAAATGGTCATATCATGGCCAGAATACAAAAAAGGACAAAGGGTCTAGAGTCTTATTTTTCCTTCAGGGGAACCCTCCCGATGACTTACAAACCTCCTGTCTTCCCTACCCCTTGAAGGTTCTGCTGCCACCTCATATTACTACCTTGGAGAGCAAGGAGACATTCAGCATCAACAAAAGTACAAGCAGACTCTCACATCCCAGTTAGAATGTCAGAAAATGATGTCATCAGGTGAGAGGAATTAGCCAAAACATCAGCACTAAGACTTTGGACAAAAAATGGCCTATCCAGACAAATAAGCAGGAATTTCTAAGTTGATAGACCTCATCTGCTTGCCAGGCACTTCTAATTAGTATTATAGTGACCCACATTAAATAAAAGCATGCAGCTACATAATATTGCATGTGTGTGGGAAATACACTACAGAAAATGAAGACAGAAATAATGATAAACAGCAATCTGTAGGAAACAGAGCTATCCAGGCAGAATAAAACATAAACAAACAGCCCTACAACAAAGAAATGCTACTTTTAATATCCTCTGAGAAATAAAATATTGTGATTATGAAATAAGAATAGGATCCTTAACTGTATAAAGAACAAAACAGTGAGATTAAAAGCTGTAACAGTAGCAGAAAATTCAATAGACTATTAGAAGATAAAACTGAGGTAGTCGCCCATTAGCATACATAAAGAGATGAAAATATATCAATGTTAGAAGACTAGTCTAGGAAATTCAATGTCCAAATACGTCAGGGACAAAGAGCAAAGAGACAGCAAAGCAGAAAATATTGAGTGAGCCCAGAAGAATGCAGGAAAATAGGCAGAGATTGGTAAGCAGGCTGAGACCTCATCTTACCACCTTCCTCAGGGAGAGATCGTGTGGGTTCAGTTTCCCATGGGATCAGAAACTCCTCCCGCTGTGGACTGGGTGCTATACATGCTAAGATCTCTGTCTGCAAGCAGGTAGTGTTTGCGCATGATGCCTACAAAAGCTGGCCCCTCGCTCCAAGCTAGGCAGTTTTCTCCCCTTGGATTTCAGCTGGTTTCAGAGACTGGCATGGTAATAGAAAGCAGCTGACATGTGACATTTCAGGATTTTAATGGAGTTTGTAGTTTCTACTCAAGTCCTGGATGCTCGCTCTCACTCCCGTTTGTCATGCTGGGCAGAAGCCCACCCAGTCTTGTGGAGAGAGCTGACCTCTACTCAGGCTTCCATCTGGGGTTCTAGACACCAGCTAATTCCAACTTTCTGTCCAAACAAGTGGATGATTTTGGAAGTTGATCACCAAGGCCCACCTCTACCACACAATCCAAATGGCAGGCTTGTGAGAGCAAGATCAATGTCTGGTACTGCTGCACCTTTCTGCTGTCTGTCTCTAAGATGCAATTGCATTTGTAGACCTTCTGAGCTTGAACTCACCTCTGCAGGCCTCTTTATCTCAAGATGGGCTCCCACAATTTGGACACCATCCTGAGTGTAATCATGAACAAAACAGATTTACCAAACAACTCAACGATTTAGATAAAACGTGTGAAAAATATTTCACCTACTTGAGAGAAACTCATTACACAGCCCCAGAAGATTGTACCTGGCAATACTATATAAACCAATTTTTCTTATTTTGCACAGGCTTTAATATAAAACACTTGCTCCAAATGAGTTAGCTTGTCTTATACTTTTTGGCTATTTTGAGAGCTGTACTTGAAGTCGGTGTACTCATTTTTCCTCTATGATTCAATTTAGGAACTGATTAATAGCATTCCATTTAGAAAATAACTGAGGCCTCACTAATCTGAAATCATCAAAAGTAGAATTCTCTCTCTTAATATTTCATGTTTTGAATATAATCAACTGTTTATATGAAAATGGAGAAATGCAATGAGCCTCAAAAGGTTGTTAAAATGAAAAACATTAAAAACAAGACGTTCTTGAGGCTCAGGACTGTTTCAGTTTCAAGTCGTTTTTGTTTGTAGGTTCACCAGTGTTTAGAAGACCCCTTCCACCCATCCTCAGCTCCTCATCTTTACCCTCCATGCTCTCTCCCTTGTGAAATGTTACCCCCCCCCCACATCTTTCTTCTCATCCTTCCCTACATCCGCCATCTTAAGGAAGGGCTGGCCAGGAGAGGAGAAGCCTCAGCAATTTCCCTTAGGGTAGAGTTCCATTTCTAAGATTTTCCAATAAAAGTTTCTTCTAAAAGATTGGTTGGGAAATATACTGAAGTCCCAAGCAGAGAGGAAACACTATTTCTTGCTAGAGATGACAGAAGCAGAGAGCAGAGGTCCCAGCCGGGAAGCTGTCATTGATAAATGGACCAGTGTGACAGCCTTCTGAGGAGGACAAATGTCTGTGAGTGACATCTTACTCTGCCTGTGTCTAGCAATAAGAATGTAATCACTGGGTATCTAATTAAAAATGAAAGAAACTAATGCCTTTTCAAACACGGAGCTTCTAGAATCTCAGGTTGCTGAGTGTCCTTGAGCAGAGGACACTGTTGCTTGTATGTCACACCACGGAGGAGCGGACCTTGATGAGGTGTCCCATGTTCATGTTCTGATTTCATTACTTTTGTTATCATTTTGGTAATGTGTTGCTGGGATGATTTTCTGCCAGGATCCCTGTTCATTTATTCATTCATCTACAGTTCTTGCCACAGACAGTTGATTGCAGGCTACTGTGTGCCAGGGCCTGGATCCTAGGGATGTAGAGAGGAACAGGACTGCTTCCAGCATTTGGAAGACCACACTGTAAGGGCAACAAATCCCTATGATACAATCTGATTAATCTGTTATAGAGATAACAACTGTACATATGGACTCCATATTATAAAAGACAGAAAATAGAGAGAGGCCTTTCAGAAAGGTCACCCCTGAAAATAAGTTGACCAAAGATCCACCATATCTTCTTTTAAAATAACCCAGCTTTGTTTATATATGTTACTTGCTAAGCACTTGAGTCTGAGATCCCAGTATAAAATTATGTCTATCAAGAGAACACATACCATAAGATGGAGTCTTACAAATCTTAAAACCTTTTATGAATGAGTTTTGAAAAGATCGTGTGATGTCTTAAAACATCCAGACTCATGTCCTCTCAGGTATGGAAATGTGCCTCGCCAGCCACCTATCTTAAACAGTAGAAAAACAAAACAAAATTTATTCTTGCTAATCAGTAACATCTCAGTCTGTTTCTATTTAAAGAGTCTTTGGAGGCTGGAGAGATGGCTGAGCAGTTAAGACTACTTACTGCTCTTGCAGAGGACCTGGGTCTAGTTCCCAGTGCCCACATCAGGCAGCTTACAACCACCTGTAACTCTAGTTCCAGAGGATCTGATGCTCTCGGACCTCCATGGGCACCTACACTCATGTGGTGCATGTAAATTCACACAGGCACACATACATACACACAAATGACAATAAATAAATCTGCAACCAGGTGTGGTGGTCCACACGTTTAATCTCAGCACTGGGAAGGCAGAGGCAAAAAGATCTCTATGAGTTGGAGGCCAGCCCTGATCTACATAGAGAATCCTAGGACATCCAGAGCTACATAGAGAGCCTCTTGTCTTTTTTTTTTTTTTTTTTTTTTTTTTTACTTCTTTATTGATTCTTAGGAAGTTTCACATCATGCATCCGATTCGGCTCATCTCCCGGTCCTCCCATATTCTCCCTTCACCCCTGCAGCATTCTACCACAAAAGAAAACGGAACAAAGCAAGCAAGAAGCAAGCAAACAAACAAAAATAAGAACAAAACAAACAAGAAAATCGATTCTCCTTCTTTCCCACTGGTGCCGTGACGAGACAGGCTCTTCCGGCACTCTGGGTCCAGGGCTCAGCGTCTGGAAACCTGTACCGTGGTCTATTGTATGACTGCCCACTCTGCTTTTTCATTTGCCCAGCCGCCGGACCGGTCCGCACACCATATTCGCTAACCAGATTGGTGAGTTTTCCCCTTTTTCATCCCCTGCCATTTCCTGCGACTGTAGCCTGAGATATACTTCTCACTGCCGGACCCCCAGGGGGTCCTCGGGCTGTGTATGTTCCCAGCCCTTACCTGCCTCTTGACAAAGGGTGGGGCAACCTTGTGCTGATTCATAGATCCTTCTCCAACCTCGGGGATGCCTGGGATTGGAGTCTGATTCCATTCCTTTATGTTAATTTTTAATTTTTTTTTTTCTTCTCAGCGCTGCAGTCATGGGACATAAGGCTTCCTCCTCTTGGTCCCACTCCTGAGAAATACCTTCAATATTCCAATAAATATGGCCGCATAACGGCTGCTTCAACCCCGATACATCATGTTTGGAATTATCTAACTTCTGCCAACAAACGGGCAAATGGAAAGAGTGACCTCATCCCCAAGCTTTCTACCTAAGCTCTGAACCCTCCTCCCTCCCCATTTCTGATTCTTTCTCTGCCACGTGCAACCACTTCTGCCTACCTGACTTCTGCTCTGCTCTCCGGTATTGGGCGGGCTCTCCAGTATCAGGTGGGCTGCTTCTGCCCAACTCTGGCTCTCACCTTAACTCTTCCCACTCTCTTCCTCTTCCTCGTTCTCAAGCTGCCCTGAGAAGCACAGGCAGGTCTGAAACAGGCTAGGATGCATGCAAATAAGTTTACAATCAGGACCCACCCGGGGATCACAGTAATCCGGATGGCTCTTTGGCCAGAGAACAGTTTACAGCCTGCCTCCTGGTGGGTCCCTGACCTTAGGGCTAAAACTTAAGCATCTGGAGAGCAAGGCTCCTGACCCTACAGATGGAAGTTTCAGCTGTGGCATGGTAAAGTGTACCATGGGAGAAATGAGAATGCCATGAACAAAATGCTGGCACACGCTATCCAAACGGCTCCTGAAAGCTGCTGGATTCCTGTTTTAAGTGCAGGAAAGAAGGCCACGTGGGCTAGTGTGTGCCCTGCTGGGCCATCAATTGAGCCTTGTTCAAAGCGCCACCTAGAGAGATAACTGGTCAGCTGACTGCCTCCATGCACCCAGGGGCATGGGAGTATCAAACAAAGACCTCCAGGTGCCTTAAAAGAATCTGTCTCTAACAAAGCTTATCTCAGGTAAAAATTAAACAAAATGCTAAACAGTACAATGGTCACCAGTCCAAGACTTTAATTTTCTCATGGCTCCTCCTTAATATGTTCAAAATTTTCCCAAGCTCCAGAAACCAGCTTAAATCTATCTGGACAGGTCAGATCTACTTCAAGATAAGTGCCAAACTCAAACTTTTCCGGTCTTGGGACCCCTTCTATCACTCTGGAAACCCTCAAAGGAAAAAAATAAGAAAAAAATGATTCTTTTTCCTAAGCTTTTCTGCCTCAGCAGCATCCTGTCAAACACATAAACAGCCAGGGTGCCGAGCCAAGAAAGATGGACAGCTCCGAGGCAGCAGACCACAGCCCACCATCCCATGACTCCTGTCTGCCTCAGAAGCCCCCTTCCCTACGCCCCCAAGAGTCAACTGATGCCCACCAAGTCAGCTGGAAGCAGTATTTCCGGGAGAAATGATGCCCCTATTCCTGTTCACTCGCTTTTTTATAATAAGCAAAAAGTCTGGAATGTTGGGATTCTGCCACACTCCAGCTGCATGACCGCAGATGCGCAGTTCAGCCGCTAGACAAGGGGTCTTGCGTCTTATGTCATCAATGTGCGCTGATGATTACGTACACGTGGTGTGGTCACATAATCTGCGCATGTGTGGTGTAGCTCCATAAGCTCACCTGAGCCTTAGAGAGCTGGACTCAGACCCCACCCTCTCTCTCTGTTCTGTTCTCTCTTCATCTTTCTTTCTCTCTCTGCACATGCTCCTTCCCCAGGCCTGGTTCTCTTGTCCCCCCCCCACCCCTGCCCCTCCTCCTCCTAATAAAGCTCTGATACAGATGCTGCGTTTTGTCGTGGCCGTGACCTTTCTGTGCGGTAACCAGTGCCACTTATCACTCTTACACCCACCTCTCCAACTCCTCTTCATTCATCCTGGTGGCACTGGGGGCCATGCTGTGTCACACAGTGGACCCTTTTGTCCTATCAGCTTTACTAGCAAATGTTCATTGCAATGAGTTACCAGGACATCTCTTGTTGCCAAATGAACCTGGACTCCATCTCCCCCATTATTTGGCAATTCCATTTAGGTCACCTTCATATATGTATATATTTTAGGAAGTTTCTACCTTATTAGTGTTCCATACAATCCCTCAAATGACCCTCAGTTTTAGCTGTCCCTCCTTATATCCCCTCCTTCCATCCCCCTGTTCCAGCATTCTCCCCCTTTGATCCTCCCATTCCAGTCCCCTTCAAACACACCATCCATCTACAACTATCCTGTTTCCCCCTCCTAGAGTATCCAATCTTCTTCCCAGTTTCTTACTCTGTACCTGGCCTCTGTGGTTCTATGGATTGCAGCCTGCTCATCAAACACTTAACAGCTAATCTCCATCTATAAGCAAATTTGTCCTTTTGGGTCTGGGTCACCTTTTGGGTCAGGATGATTTTTTTATTTCTGGCATGGTCAATTCACCTGTGAATTTCATGATTTTATATTTTTTAAACAGTTGAGTGATATTATATCATGTAAATGTAACACATTAGTCACTCATCTGTTGACAGGCATCTATATTGTTTCTAATTTCTGACTATTATGAATAGAGCAGCAATAGACATATAGACCAAATGCCTCTGTTGTAGGATGTAGAATCCTTTGGTTATGTGCCTAAGAGTGGTGTAGCTAGAGCTTGAGGTGGATCTGTTCCTATCTTACTGGAACCTACACAAGTTTGCACTCCTACCAGCAATGGATGTATGTCCCCTGACCCCACATCCTTGCCAGCATGAGCTGCTTTGACACTTTCCACACATGTATATACTAAGCTTCGGTGCTTACTCCCCATTCTGCCAAAAACCTTCTTCTTCTCTACAATCTTCTACTTTGATCTGCCTCTTTTTGTTATTATTTTTGAACATTAGACCCTTAGTGAGGAAGGCGGTCTTATGAGGCCCCCTTCATACACAATGAAATGGGTCAGTCTTGTGCAGCTAACCACAACTGGTGAGTTTGTGGTTGCCATATGTCCTGTCCTGAAACACTCTTCTCTAACCTCTAACTCTTACATTCTTCCACCCCCTCTTCTTTGTTCCCTGAGCTGTGTGTGTGTGTGTGTGTGTGTGTGTGTGTGTGTGTGTGTGTGTTACAGAGGCCCAACCCCTTTTCCTTGTTTTCCTGGAACCACCACCCATGGCCGAAAGAAACATCTCTGGCGATGGCTGGGAGCGGCATTGGTCTCAGAGTGCTACTGGGCCTGGAGTCTTAAGACCCCAATACCGTTCCTGACCTCTTGCTTGACTTGACTTGTTTTGTTGATTTTGAGTTTGCATTTTATAATTCTAACTCTTTCTCTTTTTCTACTTTACATGTTTTAAGACTATTTTATCAGATATATATATATATATAGTTTATATGTGTTATCCCCATTTAACTCTAATAACATTTTTGTCTTTAAATCTCTTTTGTCTGACATCAATGTAGAGAGCCAAACTTTCACCTTGGTGGTGTCTACAACTCTGTTTTTACGTTTTTCGGTCACTATGTAGTTCTATGGAAGGTATGCACCAGTTCCCTACTGTTATTTAGCACACTACTCCAAAATTTAATGGCTTATTATAGCAAAAAATTGACATGCTCACTGTTTCACGGGTTAACAACTTGAGTTGTACTCAGCCAAGCGCTTCCTCTAAAAGTTTCATCTGTGATTGTTTCCACAATTACAAATTGCCTGGATATTTGACTAGAACGAGAAAGCTGAAGAAGTTCCCATAGGTCTGGTGGTCGATATCAGCCATTGGCTGGGTCATGGTCTCCACACACAGCTTCTCACTCTCCAGGAGGATGTTTGAGCTTTTGCATACGATGCTAGCATGTGAAGACTGAGAACAAATTATGAAACATTTTAGTGGTGAGGCTTGGAAATTTCATAGTTTATTTATTTGGCACCCCATTTTAACAAGTCATTAGCAGGGAACAGCTGGATGGCATGGCCTCCATGTGAACCTTGTAGGGGATACAGAGACATATCACTCTGCAATGCTCTTCACAATACCTTCTTTGAAACAATGAGAGCAAGTGCTTCTCCATGGCTACCATTTAATATATGGAAATGTTGATGGGAGTCTACAGTCCAAGGGCTACCTGGAAGCAGGATTCTACCTGCCTCCAAAAATCTCGGTCTTTTTCCTTAGCACTTTCAACTGAATGGTCTAGGTCAACCTACATTATGAAAAGTGATTCACCTTACCAAAGTCTATTGTCACATCTACATAGACTCTGCACAGAAACACCCAGTGTGGTGTTTGGCCAAAAACTGAGCCATTGTGGCCTATCCAATTTAATACATAAAATTAGCCATTATAGGAACCAAAAAGAAGAGTTACATATAAAACTAATTTTAAGATAAAATAGTATTATTTGGGTAACCCCTTCTAGAAAAAGTAAATTTACTACCCACTATAATACATATAATATACACTATAATAGCAAGTCACTTGGAAGTCAGAAAAAGTTACTGTTAATGACAGTCAAGAGAAAAGGATCTATAGAAAACAACTACAAATCAAGCCGGGTAAGTTTAGTAACCTCAATTTCATTCTTATCATTTTCACAGTTTTTAAAAAAAGAGCTAATTCTCATGGATTACTGCTATGTAATAAAATTAAACCAACCTTCTGTGAGTCAAGAGCTCCAGGGGTGGGGGAACAAGGAGAATGTGCACATCAGCACATTCATTGGAGGTTTAAAGATTTTTAGTATTATTAATCAAGAACTTAAGTGTCCCAAAGACATAATACTTCTTTCCTCAGAATAAGATGTCTTATTCATAACCCAGATGAAAACTATATAAAAAGGAGGCGAGAAGGAAGTGGTCCCTAGAAGGCTTTGATCTGGATTAATGGTTCCAGTCTTCAGGGTTGTAAATCTAACTTCTATTGCTGTTTGTGCACTAAAGGGTACTCAATTGGCCCAAAAGAATTAATGCAACTTCTAAAAGTTGGCCAACTAATTTATAGGCAATAACTCACACGTCAGGAAAAATTGGATCAGCAAGTAATGCTATATTTATTTCCATGAAACCTGGCGGTGTTTTGCCTCATAAAAGTTAGAGGGATTAAGTTCATCTGAAACTTTTCCCCCAGAATGGTGAGAAGTAGGAAATGGTCCTGGTGAGCAAGGGATGTGAAGCAGCAGCCAAAGGCACAGTGGGAGGGGAGCAGGTGACAGAAAAGAGCTTGTGAAAGTCTGCATCTCTGGATCACAGTTGAGGCCAACAGAAAATCAATCTTCCCTGGTGATAGAATTCAGTTCTTTAGTTTACTTGTCAACATTGCATTTGTTTGGCAGTTGTTTGCAGAGTGTGTTCCACCGTAATGATGCTGCCTTTACCCATCCCCTATCTGATAGCCAGCATCCCCACCAACACTTGCTGGCACTCAGTCTGTATTCATGATCATGGTTTGTGTCCAGTCTGTTCTCTAGATCTGGTCATAAAGGGACAGTAATGCCTCTGGAATATCCTCAAC